CGAAGTCCTTCTGAACGTCGGGGCTTTCCAGGGCCTCGAGGTCAACCTGCGCGGGCTTCCAAGCATGCATGATGGGGGCCCCTCGGATGGGCGACGCGAGCTGCATCTATAGCAGGTCGTGGCCAAACACTGCGTTTCCGAAATCAATGTCTGGGTTGACTTTGCACTCGCGGAAACGGGTCGCCATGAATGTGCGTGCACGTCGGTGCTCAGTGCGCTCGCGGGCCAGGCCGTCAGGGGAGTGCCGCGTCAGCTGCTCAAAATGGTCGGCTGGCTTATGAAGCGTCGACGGCGCACGTAATTCTCAAACTCCTGCAAGAGTGCCCGCATCTGGCTGCCTGCTGAATTCGTTGCACCTGGGTGGTGGTTGCCAACAGAAGAGGGCATGGGGGTCCTGCGCATTGCTTCCGACGAGCAGTACTGGCACATGCAATTGACGTAGGTGCATGCGCACTCGTCGAAGCAACCCCTGCCACAATTCTGGCGCAGCGCGCGCAGCGTCTGCAATGTGGGGGAACGGGGCATGACCAACAACGCGGAACAGCACGCATTCGGGCAGGGCGGGGCTAGAAGAGACAACAAACATTGCCGTCTCAATGCTAACCAGGAAGGGCGCAAGCTCCATGTGCAACCAAACAGCTCCACCATCCGCGCCTTAGAGTGCCGCCGAGCTCTGAACAACGTGCTAGGGAAAACCGCGGCTGGAAGCTCATGCTCCATCCTTGTCTCCAAACGCAGCAATTCCGTGAAACTGGCGATGTTGAAATACTTTGGCTGACATGCACACGCGGCCACCTGCGTTCAATCCACGCTGCCGCTGGCAAGGTGCAAGGGTCGATCGGCGCGCCCGCTCAGTTAACTTAGACCGCAAACTAAGCACACTAGCTAATGCCATGCTGATAGATACCCGCGTGCCACCGTGTATATACACCTGTTTCGACCTTGCGTGTTTGCCCGTCGATGCAGGGGCCGAAATCGAATGCGGGCTCAACTCGAAATCCGCCGACCCCTTGGGGATCATCGGCGCGTGAGATGCTTCCCCCTCCCCAAACCCCTCCCCCGGGAGCCCGGTCCGGTCGATTTGGAGGGGGGGGGGGGGTCGAGCGCGAGCGGGGGGGGTCCGGGACGAGCGGTTCACGGGGCTTTTCCGAGCCCAAGAGGGCCTCAAGACGGGCCAAGAAGCCCCCAAGAGGCCTCCAAGACGGCCCACGAAGGCTCCGAGACGCCAAACGACCGGTCCAAGACGCCCACGATGGCCCCAAGACGGGCCAAGAGGTCTCCAAGACGGCCTCCGAGGTCCCAAACAAGCCTCCCAAGAGGACCCCAAGAGTCTAAAATTGTTGATTTTCCATAGTGTTTTTCTATGTTTTTTGCTTTTCCGCCTTTTCGGCTTCCCGACGCTCCAAGACGGCCAAAGAGGCCCCCAAGAAAGCCCCAAGATGGCCCAAGAGGCCCCCAAGACGGCCTCCAGACGGCCCAAGACGGCCCCAACACGGCCCAAGAGGTCCCCAAGACGGCCCAAGAGGGCTCCAAGACGGCACCAACAGGGGCCCAAGAGGGCGACCAAACATGTTGAAACTCTAGCTTTCTGCCCCCAGGAGCCCCAGGGGGCCCCAAGAGTGCCCCAAGAGGCCCCCAGAGGCCCTCACGAGGCCGCCCAGACGCCCCAAGGAACCCCCAAGAAGCACCCCAGAGGCTCCGAAACGGCCCCCAAGTGGCTCCAAAACTCGCTTTTCACCCCTTCGCAGCATCTACTACCCCCAGATTGGCATAAACAAGGGGTCGGCGGTGTGGCGTAAGCCTAAGAATCTCTGGGCCTCGAGACCAAAAGCTCCCCGCTGGACAGACTCCGAAGGCACTTTGACCGCGCCCGGCGCGGGCTGGCCAGCAGCCGCCCCCACGCCGACGGCATGAGGTTCGAGTAAGAGCGGCGCGACAACAGATGGCCTCGCTAAGATATCCACTTGTTCGCCTAGAAGATCCCCGCGGCGCGCTCGCGCGCGCTGCCCCGGACCTCTCGCCCATGGGAGTCAATCGTCAGAACGCAGACTCTCACAAACTGGGGCATCGGCTTCGTGTAGCCGGGGTACTGTTCAGGGCGAACATCACGCTGAGCGCGGGTGTCGATGTGGAACTCGACTGGCCAAAGCTCCCAGCATATGTGGCACGGGCGAAATTGCCCACGCCGCGGCCAGATACTCAGCAATGTCAAAGAGCTGCTCTCGACCTGCCAAATCTACATGATCGTCGCCCGCCGGTGCTGCTAAGGATCTGCGAATGCCCAGCTTCCGACCTGAGTACTCACGGACAACAGCAATAGCGGAGGAGGGGCGATCGGGGATCTGAGCTGCAGGAGCATCCCCAGACCCACAAGTCTATATGCGCGCGCGCGAGCGGGCGATTCAAACTCCCTGACCTCAACTGGGCTGCCTAGGGTCTCCTGGGTGGTGGGCCGCAGGTATTCCAACGTAACTTGAGGCAGAGGGGCTTCTAGGGGGGAAAGAAAACCACGGCTCCAGCATCTGAGCTACGGCCGAGCGTGCATCTAAAGAAGGGAGGGCCACGCGAGGCGAGGGGGGTGGCGGGGCATCGGGCGGAAGCCCATCAGGAAAAGCCGGACAATTCAAGATATTACTGGGCAGGCCTCGCTACCTCTGGGCGCTCTCGCTGTGTTGCACGTGGGATCCTCTCGCGATCTGCGTCCGTTTCTGCCCTCTTCCGCGGGGTTGGGGGCGCCCTGGCCGGGGCCCGCGAGGCAGCTCGAGACGCCGAACTGGGCGCCCCCGCGGGCTTCATGCGAGGCTGGAGGGGGAGAGGCGGAGGCTCCGAGGAGGGAGGGTGTGGTCCGACTAGGGCGAACTGTAAGTCCATCGCTGCTGTGCTGCCTCGCTTGCCAAAGCAACCGTGGCCTGCTGCTGCCGGCTCGCTGCGGTCCCGTGCTCTTGCGCGACTGTTTGTTGGTGAAGGTATGATTGCTGGGCCTGCTGTCGCTGCATCAAATGTAAAGCTGGATTATGCTGCGCCGCCTGCGCTGGCATAGGAACCCCCGCGTTCTCTGCGCGGACGTTTTCTGCATGTGCGGTTGCCGTCACTGGGCCAAGCGTCCCTGGGGCGGCCTGTGCAGGTCTGTGGCTGACGAGCGTCTGGAAGTTTGCGGGCAGATCCATGAGGTTCTGTGCCAATACCTGTTGGGAACGTTGTAACTCCGCCAGTCCAGGAATATTCGCTTGCCACTGCGCCAATGATGATGAGCCAGCAAAACCACCTACGGGAACTGAAGCTGACTGCGTCATGGGATCATCGGGTTGGCCGGCTGGCGGTGTGGCTTGACAGCTTTGTGCGACAATGGTCTGCAAGGCGGACCCGGCCTTCTTCATGCACTCGTGATCCTGGTGCTGCCTCTGGAGATCCTGTCAATGTCACGACACGCTCCTGGGCCTTCTCTAGTTCGGTGTCGTCATCATGCGCTTCTCGGCTCTGGCAATCGCTTCCTCCTGGCGGGCAAACTGTACTGGAGGACGTCGGGCACCATACATCATGGCCGGGGCCAGGCAAGACTCTTCGGCGCGTGCGATGGGTGACGTCTTGGCCTCGCCGGTGTTTTTTAATGATGAAGGTGTCCACAGCCGATAGCCGCGATGCCACACGACTGCGATACTTTTCCTTGTCCTCCTCCATCGCTTGGTCGGTCGGCGGTGTCCCAGGATGGATGGCTTCTCGATCTCATTGGCGGCATGGCACGTAGATTCAGCAACACCTTTGCGGAATTGAAACGCAGGGTGTCGCTGCTGTCGATCAACTCGACCTCCGATGCAATTCGTTCCCGAAGCTCTCGGGATTGTACGCGGTCGCGGGCGGGTGGGTGACTCTTGCTGGCGATGTACTCTGTCGTGGTTTGTCGGCTCGATCTCGTGGGACTGAACGGTCGCGGCCTCGTCGCGGATGTGGAGACTGCTGCCTTAGCCACCGTTGTCGCACTAATCCACTGGCTTGACCTGGCGCCTTTTGGAGGAGGCTTTGGTAGCAGGCCGGAGCAATCGTCCAATTGATCGTACCACATTCGCATCTTTATGAAGCCGATTGTGGGGAATGTGCTCGAGACTTTTGCACCATCTCGTGTATCCGTGGTGGTGCGTTTCCGTGATGTTGTGGAAATAGCTGTCAGTGTCGATTTTCTCGTCATCGTCGTCTGGCTGCCGCTCTCTGCCTTCTCAGACGGCGGTGCCATGTTGGGGACCTGAATCTCTCAAGGTCCGTCTCGCGCCGTGAGGCGCTGGGGGTCTGCGCAATCGCGGGCGCCCACGCGCGGGCCCGACGGAAGGGCAAAACGGCTGCGCGCGCGGGGCCCCGCTGCGAAGCCACCTCTCCGACCAGAGAGAAGGGAAAGCGCAGGAGAAGTGGGGGGGGGGATGGGAGGCTGAGGAGACAAGACAAGACAAGAAATCCCTCGGGAGTGTCAGTGCTGACCTCAAGCTGCCAGCACTGGCAATATACACACAAGTGAATGCATGCTGCAAAAGTAAGGTCTGGGTGGCTTCACGTGCGAATTGCTACACCGTCCTGCAGGCGGGTCACGCGCGGGCGAAGTTGAGGAGGAGAAAAATGATGACGACGACGAAAACGATGAAGAATTGTGATCCTTTCCGCGGACACAACCTCCGACCATGTTTGCGAATGTCACACGTCAAGTGGCCATGCGAATCGACTCGCATTGCCACACAAACCGTGAGACACAGCCGGGTCGAGCAGGAGGGAGGGCGAGGAGTAGGGAGAGCAGAGGGGGCAAGAGACAAGGCAGGGGAGCGCAGCCCGTGCCTGCGAGCGCCACCTCCAGACGTCGTCGGAAGTGTCCCGAAGAATTGCCCCACGCAAGGGCGTGCGTACACCGACTAAGCATTGCCGATGCTGCTCGCACCATGGACCCTCGCGGGTCGCGGGATGAGGATGTGTGATCGGCTGCTTCTGCCCCCCTGCCGGGCTTGGGGCGCCCCTGCCGCGTCCTCAGCGAGCTGCTGTTCCAGCGTTTCGATGCGCCTCCTGGGCGGGAAGCTCAAACGCCCGCAGCTCCCCTGGACTTCTCCTGCTCCCTCCTCCTTCTCCTCCTCCTCCTCGTCATCATCATCATCATCATCATCATCATCATCATCATCATCATCATCATCATCATCATCATCATTTTGCTTCCCCTTCTGCTCCCACCTCCGCAGTCGTCCTCTTCACCCTCCTGCTCCTCCACGAGGGAGAGCAGATAGATGTCATCGTCCTCGTCCTCCTCATCATCATGACGGAGCCCATCGAGGCGTGGCTCCATTCTCGACGCTTTCGGCGTCGGACCATGCCTTGCAAACCCGCCATCGCTTTTGAAGGCGAAGGGAAACTGCTTCGAGCACATTTTCTTATTTTCGGCGATGACGGGCGTCATGGGTAGGGGGGGGCGGGGGGGGTTATGACGTAACGCCCCCCCCCCCCCGCCGTGTGGCTCCGGCACCACAGCCGCGCCCGCGCGCACGACGACGATGAGCGACGAGCGACAAACGACAAGCGACGAGGACGACGATGACGACGACGCGAGCAGCATTTAGGTGGGGATCTGCCCCACAGCGCCTGTGCACGTGCACCACAGCCCGCGCGTACACCTCAGCGCCTGCGTACACCGCAACAGCTGTGTGCAACGCACCGTCTGTGTACATCAAAAGTGCTTGTGTGCACCACAGAGCCGGTGTACACCACAGCGAACGAATGTGTACACCGCAGCGACCATGTGCAAAAAAACGCATGTGTACACCACAATGCTTGCGTGCACCGCAGCGCCTGTGCACACCACAGCGCCTGTCTCCACCAGAGCATCCGCGTGCAACGCAGCGCTGGGGTACACTACAGCGCCTGCGTGCACAGGACATGTAGAAGGAGCATGTATGTGAGGATCTGCTGCGGACAGCTAATCGCCAGCCCAGGGAAGTGCTGAGAAGAAAATGCGACGTTCTTCCCTCCCTCTCCACCCTTACCTCCACCTCCTCCTCCTCCTTCTCTTTCTCCTCCTCCTCCTCCTCGTCCTCCTTTTCCTCCTCCTCCTCCTCCCTCACCCTTCCACCCTGTCGCGCGGGTCGGCACTACAGCGCACGTGCGCATCTCAGCGTGCACCGCAAAATGGTATATTTGATCAGTCCACTTGGCTCTCGGACGGCCAATTTTGCTGGAGCCTTCTGGACGCAGATGGGAGGATCTGGATGATGCGGGCGGACTTGGGAGGACTCCTAAATTCCATCGGCGTTCCTTTTTCATGAGGACTCCTTTTCAAAACCTTATATCAAACAATTTTTGTTGTGGAATCCACAGGCGCTGCATTTTGTCATAAGGATTTCTTCTAAAAATAAATATGCAAAGGTGGTGCTCTGTTGCACACTGTTGCTGTGGTGCACGCAGGCGCCATGATGTACACAGGCGCTGTAGTGCACGCGGGTATTGTGGTGTACACTGGTGCTGTGTTGCGCACGGCTGATGTGGTGCACGCAGGCGCTATGGTCTACACAAGCGCTGTGGTGCCCGTAGGCACTGCACACTGGAGCTGTGCTGCACGCGGCTGCTGTGGTGTACATACGCGGTGTGGTGTACACAAGCGTTGTGGTGCACGCAGGCACTGTGGTGTACACTGTGGTGCAAATCGCCACCTAGATGCAGCTGCTACCCGCCCTCGTTCATTCCCAAGCATTCCCAGACGCCGCCGGCGCGAAACGTGACGTTATCGGCCCCCTCCACCCCCCCCAAATGATTGCTATCATCGGCCCGGAACAACAAACAGCCTTCAGGCGCGTCAGCGCGCACGACGACGATGAGCGACGAGCGACGAGCTACGACGACGACGACGACGACAACGACAACGACGACGACGACGACGACGACTGCGGAACAGACTCCTTTGAGGATTCCTAAGCGGACACGTATGCGGATCCCGATGCGCACGGCGGCAGTGCCCGGAGCGCACTGGGGGGGGAGCGTTACTTCATAAGGGGGGGCGAGGGCCATGACGCCCGTCATGCCCTAAGAAACAAAGAGACACGCTCTTCCAGTCTCTTTGGCGTGCTGATTCTGAGGTGGATGCTTTGGAGTGTTGATCGTACTGGGAATTCATACCGCTGGAGCCACTTACCAAGGTCTCTGTAGACACCATTCGGCGATCTGCAGTGAGTGTGGACGGATGTCACATGAGATTGGCCTATCCTGGAAGCAAGCCAATCAGCCGGCCACCGACGCGGTGTGGCGCCAGCTAGCCCGCTCAGGGTGCTCGGTGCGTAGTGCAGGCTGAGCCACGACCGCTTCGTAGGGCATGTGGGAGTAGTAGGAGATATGAGAGCTGTGTGGCTTGGAAGGCAGGTGCGACGGCGTCGGATCCTCAACCGCTGCCATTCGGCTATCGGTGTGTGCGTATCGTGCCGCCCGCTTCATCAACATTGCTGGGTTCCTGGGTGGGCCGTGCCTGGCTTCCCTCGGCTGTCCTTGCAGATTGCAGCCTGGCTACCACCTACGCTCGGATATACTAAATGCACACGTTTCAGAATGTCTCCCTCTCGCCGTCGGTGGGCTTAGATTTGCGTATTGATGGCATCAGGACCTCTGGGAAGAGAACGGTTCAGCAAGTTTTGTTGGAACTAGGGGGCCAACTGCTACGCATTAAGCTGTCATTAGCGAGATCAAGTGGTGCGTAAGTCCCGATAGGTTCACAAGTCCCGATAGGTCCACAAATGTTGCTAACGACCTTTCTTTCGGCTGTTTGCTCGAGAGCTGGCTGGGTGACTGGGCTGGGCCCGGTCAAAACCGCTCCACTGCTGTTACTTTGGGGACGAATGTAACGTCAGGGAAGGCTCGCAGGGTAAAGGGAAGGGCAGCAACGCATAAGAAAAGGAAGCGTAACGTTGAGCGGGAAGCAACGCGTGTAAAGAATCAGTAACACATTCAACGACGATCGACCCCCAAAAAATACACTGCAGCAGACATGTGCCTATTCTGTGATATGGAACTGAATGCCATGGGATTGCTGCCTTGTGGTCGATCCCTCTCGACGGCGCTTGTTTTTGAAGATGAATGCCGATCGTTCGCTGGAGTAAGGAGGCTTGGTCAGAACAGGTTCATTCCATGTCATGCTCAATACCCATGCCCGAACTTCGCAGGACCTGGTCATCTGTGTGTTGTGCTCGGGACTTGCCAAGGATATGGAGGAATGTCAAGGGTCCGATGGGTGCGCTGCACACGTCGGTGCTCAGGCTCGGCTGGTCGATGAAAAGTTTCACCACGCTTCCAGACCCCATGTAATAACTAACTATTGCTCACCTTCGCCAGCCCGCCGTTACTAAAGGAGTTGCTCCATCGTGCCATTGCTTGGGGATTTGAAGTGTCGATCGCGTCGAAGCTAGAGGTGCAGTGGGGTTGTGCGTGTTTCGAGTTCGTCTGAGCAGAAGCTCGGGGAGTGGATTCAATCTTATCCTTACTGATAAAAAGAAACTCCCTCGCCCGACTAACCACAAACCAAGAGCAATACGGACAACCACCCGACCATCCCTGTCAAAAAAACAACACACAATGCACAGTGTGGCGAAATGCTGATCATGTTCAGGCGCCCAGCGATAACTGTCGTTTGGCATGGACGAAAAGGGGGTCGACATATTGCCATCCCTGTCAAAACACGTGCAAGGCGCACGCTGCAGCAACATATTAGATCACGCGCGTGGGCAACATTATCATGTCGCACTGTTGTTTGACAGGCGTGATGGGGGTGCCCTGGCACGCGCGGCGCACCCTGCGGGCGTCGTGCACCTGGCTGGGGTCTGCATTGATTCCCGATGGTTGTCGACGGCGGCCCCTGTCCATGCTGATACTACTTATATGTTTGGAGGGCGAGTGGAAGTGAGCGAGACGGCGGGGCAAGGCTACTTAGGTCCCCCCCTTCTTGACTGATCGCCTCCAAGATGGCCCCAAGACTGCCCGAAACGCTCCCAAGAGGGCCCTGAGAGGAGCCCAAGAGGCCCCAAGAGGCCCCCACGAGGTCCTCGAGAGGACCCACAGCGACCCCGAAGCGGCCCCAAGAGGCCCCCCAGAGGCCCCCCAGACGCTCCAAGAGTCAACATGACGCCCCAAAAGCTGTCTAATGCTGAGGGTAGCCCCGCTGGGCATCGCGTCTGGATGAGCTGGTGATGATACCCAATGCGTTAAGAGTATTCCCCGCTGGAGGCAGGATCTATCATGAATCTGGAGTGTGACGGCTACCGGACGGCCGAAAAGGCGGTTTCGCTTGGGCATTGTTTGTCAGAGGACCAGCTGCTGTGCAACCCCCCTTTTACACGCAAACCACCGACTGGATTTTCCACAGGCTCAGGAAGGTTGTGGAAGTGTCCTGCAATGACCACAGGTAGAGCTAGCTGGACTTGTCCAGGACCCGATTCAAACTCAGGCCTAAGGAGGACTACCGACTAAAGATCGGACCTCGTTCGCCCGTGATATCTTCGAGCATCCCGAGAATGCCTGTCCTCACCCTCTGAAGGTCGGCGGGGGCGAGATCCGAGCTGAGGGCGATCGTACTTTCCACGACGTTCTGATCCACTGCAAAATGTGTGATGGCAGTTGTTTCTGGCATCCTGCCCCCGAATGTTCGAAGGCTGGACGGGGAGTGGTGCAGATCTGTCCCCCAGGGTTCCCTGGAGTGTGCCATCCAGGGCCCTGTCTGGGCGCCTCTACTCCAGACTGCGCCAGGGGGCGAGTTCACGGCCCTGGGGCAGACCGCTTGGCCGCTTGGAGGCCCGAGCGATGCTGATACTACGTCAGACTGTCGGGCGGTGCGAGGTGCGAACTCATTCCCTACCTAGGCTCTGCCTAGAAGGGTTCTTACTCTCTGGGCTTAAAGGGGCCGAGCAGTGGAAAGCGCCCCGGGCGGTTCCCCCAGTATCCGCCCCGCGGTTCCCCCAGTTCGCCCCCTTAGCTTAGCTTTGCTTATCCCATCTTAGCTTCGCCTAGCTTAACATAGCTTAGCTTAGCTTAGCTGAGCCTAG